TCCTCGCTCATCACGAACTCAACGGACCGTACTGTAGCAAGATCCACTGTCGCGTCAGCCCTTGACACTCATGCCTCATGCGCGCTCAATCTTAACGGTGCTCTGCTGGCACGGGGCCACTAAAAAAATCATTGAGCCACTGTATTCTCCAAAATCAATGGCCCAACCGGCAGTGGTCATTTGAGGAACACTGCCACATTTTCAAAACTTTCCTCACATTTAATGACTCGTGTTTTAAATCAGCGGCGCAGCACTTTCAAGCTCACTGTATAAGTCCACAGCCTGAACAGTTGTGATTGCCTGCTTAATGTACGAGGCTCATGTGCTACATGTAAACACGTAACTAGCATGCAGCGCGACTGTTCATTGCACGGTCAACAGCTCATACTCTTGCAAATGACCTGAGTAGATGTTGGCTGGTACAATTTTCTAACAATGCCAGTTTACTTATATTCCTTCCCAGTTTATATATATTCCTTCGCATGGTGCTACCGCAAGCCTTTCCACCTATTGCTGTCTTTCTCACCATGAATAGCCTGAAATTTCATCCAATGCCAGTTTAATGTCCTCTCTCTTGACACCAATGACACCTTTAGCGAGGTCGTGTAGGGTTGCACCTCAGGCCAATCAAGCAACATATACGTAACCTCAAATTAAATTTGTGAACACAAAAAATACTATACTGAGCAAGAAATGAGACCGAGGGGTACCCCCCAACATGTCCAATCCTCATACACATTCCAGACTTTTGTTACTTAACACATCCCCCAAGATGTCTGAAAGGAATTCCCCAGATTCCTGCGAGACAATGACCAACACAAAGCAGGGAGGGTTCTCTCCGTCTCATACCTTGCTGCATATGAAAAATATGTACATTTTATATATCCAACTAATCAAGTTCTGGGAAGTACACGTAACTTGTACTTCCTCCGACATCATTTTTCTATGTGCAGCCATGTATAGTTTTGTGTGTGTGTACAGCGAATTGCACAACGCTATTTTAATGCATGGACTGGTTGCCGCGTTGCCATCACACCTTTTTGACAGTAGCACGGTGCAGCGGGAACCAGCGGAAACCTTGCATGAAGCAATATTGCGTGCGTGTTTTCGAAACCGTGATAGCGAAATGCGAAGGGAACTTGTGAAAACCACAAAACTTTCTTTCCACATGTTGTGAATGTAAAGCAGGTGTTTTGTGAAGACAGGATCCTGTCTTTCCTGAGAAAGACAGGATTGATTTTTCCTTTTTTGAGCTGTGAGAAGAGATGGATACACATACAGGTACGATGGCTCAAATTTGCCCGATGCAGCTGAAAAGTTGATAAGCACATTTTGCTTATGTAGAACCATGGAGGAAGGACACAACTTTTTTTTTTCAGCCCTAAAATGTGACACGATTCATAAAATTCCATGAAACTTGGTGTTAGATGTCACAACACCCCCCCTGACCACATACCAGAAGACACATGAATATTTCCAACTTTTGTGGGCAAAAGGCACATTGAGTGGTGAAGTTACCACACCGAATTATGAAATTGCCAAAAGACTGTGAAACTGTATACAAAGTGGTGGAATAACAAAGCCGACAATGTAGCATCAGAGCGAGTGAGGATAGCAATGGTGTGTACATCATTGTCCAATCCAGCAAGCGCAGTGTACAGATGACATCGTGCATTGACAGGATTTGCCCGTTACCTTTTTCTCACTTGCCAGCCGGACCAGCAATGATGGCTTTTTACTAGTCCATAAGCAGAATTTTCACTAGTCCGCATCTTCCCCCAAATTTCAACATTCTTTTTGGCACTAGTGTTTTCTGCTCCAACATCATGCATAACGGTGAGCACTCGGTGCTGACTGTTGTTTAATTGTCGAGGAGTAATCATAAATGGCCATGGGAATTATGAATTTCCAGAATATTCATGAGTATAACTCTACTCAAGCAAATTTAATATAATCACAGATATGCCAGAACA